AGTCATGACAGAGCAATATCGATTTTTCTCGGCATTATTTAAATTTTGACTGTTTCTTCACACTTACTACTCGTCTGACGACGAGCTGGGGAACCAGACTCGAAAATTTACTAAATAAAGTTTGTTCATTTTCCCAGAGGACTCATTCTTCTTCGAATGAACTAAAAATATGCGTGTCCAGCTGCAAAACGACCGATCAGCTGAGACATTCCCACACCAATTACTGGCAGCTGGGAACGGAACGGTGCCGGTTGATCCTAATTCAGGACGCATTAACTACATCTTACCTTCGGCAATTTAGTGTCTTCAGAAGAAAAAGAAGTGGTTGGAAAGGTATTTCCCAAAATGCAAACCAATTATACAACTCACGATTGGTTGAGCGGACGAACTATTCTTGCGGCCAAGAACAAAGATGCCTACCTGTTTAACTATTTCATTCAGTCTACGATTCAAAGCGAAGCCGTCACATACATGTCCGTCAACACTGTTGTGGAAGCAGACGGGGCAGTTAATTAACCAACAGAACCGTCAACAAAGCTCAGGGTCAGTACTTAGAATTGTGCAGTTTGGATCTGCAAACGGATTGCTTCTCACCTGACCAACTATATGTTGTGTGCTCCACAGTCGGCAAACCAGTCAATCTGTATACCTGTGCAGACAACGAGACGGCAGAAAATATTGTATACCCACAAGAACTATGAAATTAAGCATATTCGAAACGCGCTCTCGCCCTCTTTTCTTCCTCTCCATATCATCACACTGAGCCACAGCAACGCGTGGCTGGGTCCAGCTAGTATATTAATATTGATTGATTCACCGTGCTCCAACAAGGGTACTTCCCAATGGCTGCGATACCTGTTTACGGTTCCATGTCTTTGCATGCCGCAAGCGAGATATTCTCTCGTCGTTTCGAATGTTTCGTGGCATGTGGTCCAACGTTCTTTGGTTAGTTTTAAATTAATTTATAAGCTTAGAGTAAATGCGTAGGTTTCGGACACGACTGGTCGTTTCACCTTTGTCCAGGTCATATGAACGGAGTGGAGTTGTAAAGACTCTCTCCAATAGAGGGACGATACAAAACCAGCCTCGTTTCCAAGATGTTTAAGGGTTACAATGCCCCCTTTTGAGACTTAAAAGGAAGAAAGTTATGCGGACATTAAGTCCGATATTAAGGATTATATTAATTAATTGTGGTACATGATACAGTTGGTTATGGCAGATGCTGTCTAGGTTTATCAGTAGAGTATATAGTTGAATGGTTAAGGACAGAAAAGATGAGATTTAAAAGCGTATAAATTTGCGTGGAGTTCGTATATTATATTGGGGTAGGTCGAGGTTACTGAAAATGCAGCTTTATTTCGACAGAAACCTTGATTCATGCAAACAAATGTAGCAGTAACATATCGGTGTACGAGGTTTTGGGCAAAATGAATCGGAAGAAGTGTTGACGACCACACGTTCCTTTTGATAAATTTCCCCCAGGCCAGCGCAATTATATGGAGACGGGGTACAGTAAAACACGTCAGCGACTGGAAAATCGATAACAGTTATTTTTAAATCACAGGCGGGGCGAGAACATAAGGCCGCGGATAGTTGCATGTGACTAGTCAACCATCGACCACGGTAAGCGTCGAGTCTGAACTTTGTTTATCTGAGTGTATAGGGTCGCTTTTCGGCAAAGCTTTTCGCGTGACTTATAAGGTCCCCTAGAGCTATCCTATGCTACTCGGGCAGCGTCTGTTGGCAACAGCAGAAGCGTCCGCAGTTAGGTTAACAAAAGCGGCCCTATGCGCCCAAAAGAACCTCGTTCAGGCTCCGCACTTGCCGTGATCTAAGGTTGACTAATCACATGCAACTTTCCATTCTCGTCTCGCCTGTGTTGCAAAACCAACTTTTGTCGTTTTTTTCCAATCTCTGACATGTTTGACTACACCTCGTTACTCTATACCTGTACTGGCCTGAGGTGAATTTATCGAAAGCAACGTACGCTGGCCAACTCGTCGGCTGAAAATGAATCGAGTAAACTGTATCACACGCGCAAGCAGCTCAATGGTGGGAACACTTCTCCTAAAAGACCAGGTGACGTGGGATTGGACGATTGGCAATGCGACCTCGCCTCAGTGCGAACCTTCTCATCAAATGTGACATTCCAGCATGTCTTATGGGTCTGCATCTTTGACGCGGACCACACACCTTGCGCGTGATAACCTGCAGCCAGGTCCTTCCTGGCAGACCTAAGAAAAGACTTACTTACTACTGCTTCCGGAATGTTTGCGCAAGCACGGGCATTTCCGCATTTACTACCTCCAGATGACGCGATGCGTGACATCCCTATGGCCCTAATCTTAGCGCCCGGTTAGGCCCTCCAGGGCAGTGTATCCTTGGCGTGACCTCAGTAGACAACTAATAGGATGCCTAGGAGTGTAATTAATCGTATCCTTACAGGGGCACAGACGGGGGGAGGGAGAGAGAGGTGTGTTGTGACACTCAATGATCCCTGGGGAACGACCTCACTCCTTGCATTGCTTTTTTAAGGAGGGTGGGCGGGACTTTTCTGCAAGAACTCCGGCAGCAGATAAAACCCAGGCCACTGCTCGGGTCCGTTTGCGAACTACTGGGCAGGTTTCTAAAGGTGCGGGCGCAGGCAGGGGTCACAGGCATAAGGGAACTTTAGCGCCTGCTAAATGACAGTCCGGACATTTGCTGTTAGTATGGTATCACCTTACCGTATACTACTAGCTGCCTGTCGGCAGTTAATGAATATTACGCGGTTACCCGCTGTGGCTGATGGACTTTGACTCAAATATTTGCACATAAAAATTTCGGTCAGTGTCTATAGACTTTGAATAAACTGATCTTCTCCAACTTCGTAGATAATTTCTGAGGAAATTAAAAGGCGACAGGACGAACTATTGTTAATCAGAGGCAGACAAACAAATTAGCGGATTATCTACCATCATTGGTGTTGGGTTTGACCGAAGGCAGGAAGTGAAATAGCAACCTGACAATGGCACCCTTAGATCGGCCAATTCCTCAACTTGTTGATGGACGAGGAGTTCTGAACTGAATCTGGCTCATCTATTTGGCGGTAGCATCCACACAGATGCAATCAGTTTTCGTCCGTCGATAGCCCAGCTCATCTTATGCCATCCGGAAGTATTGTGCAGATTCGTTGACCGTGGTAACATGGCAGTTCGATCGTTGTTACCAACAATGCCCATCGTGTGCCCGCGGCCGGTTGAGTGCAGGGACGGTGGCATGCGTGGGAGGTATTCAGCAGGGATAGTAGACTTGCGCAGCATCTATCGCATTCTCACCTCCCTCATTCGTTTGAGCCTGATGCCAAGACAGGATTGGACGCGATAGTTGGCAGAACTTAACGGGATGTCTACGTGTGCGGCATATACGCACCTAGTTCGCGGACGATATACCAGGGATACAAAAAACAAGGGTGGGGACGACACGGATCCCCAGCTGAGTGGATGTTCCATAGAAACCACATTAAGAAGGAGTCATTAAAGCCTGAATTTCCATCCTGAGGGGAGAACCGAGCTATTTCGTTCGTTGCCATTCATTTAGGCCGCGGCGTTTAGCCCACTTTAATAGTTTAGAAGCGCGTCAGATTTTTTTTATAGCGACGAATATACACTGAGTACTGTTGGGTCGAAATGCCTAGAAACAACCCCATTCTCTTTACCTTCTTTCAGGAACCAGTGCACCTATTCTACTAACGCTGACTTATTTGAAGTTACCTGATGATCTTCCCAAACAATTTTCCATTTCTGGTTAAAGAGTTTTGGCTTATTTACTGCAGAGAGACTAGTCATTACTAGCACAATTAAATGACCAGTTGAATTTTGTGAACTGGCGGCTCGACATTCTGCATGCTTTTTCTGATGTGCGTAAAAGCTGGATGGGCACTTAAGTCAAGGAACGTTAGCCCCGCTCACGTCCTCAAAGTGCGCGATAAAAGTGGAAATCGCAGCCCCCCATCAGAATACTTTTACGACGTAGATGTTAAAACTATGCCGCCTATGATCACAGGGCGGACAGCATAGAGGGCATTTCGAGGACCGGTTTGGTTGCAAAACAGGACATCGAATGCCGATTTGATTGGGCGTACATTCAAGGGGATTGGCTGATACATCGAGTAGGCCTCGAAACGCCATTTAGTGTGCTGACTGCTGCCATCAAAGCTGCGCAAGGAATCCGCAAAGTTCCCGCCGATAGTGAATCAAGCGCAGGCTTGACGTAAGTTATGACGTTCCCGCGAACTAACGAACTACGGCTTACTAACCTCATAAACGGAAAGAGGTAAGGAAGGCCAGTAAGGGAATAAAGTTAATATTCAAAATGTTCAACGACCTGACCAGAGAGCATGCAAGCGGCGCGAAGCTTACAAGCGGCGGAGTCCTCGTCACGTTAAAACAAATGCTACAGTAAAACAAACGTGACAAGATTGTCAAAGGTCAAGTAGTCAAGTACTTCAGCACAGTAACCGCCTCCGAGACCGGAGGGCGGCGTGAACGACGCCGGAGGACATACAAAGGTCTAGGAGAAATGAGTAATTAGACGATCGGGAAAGTGAACGTGACGTCCACTAGGGTGATATATGCGGGAAGCACTGTTGGAGGCAGCTGAGTAGGTGTTGTAGTGGACAAGTTAAGGGTGGAGGAAGAGGCTGCAGTTTGATGCTGCGAACAAGAAGGAAGAGGAAGTATACGGGACGGAGGGATAGGTGGGGAAAGTGGAAAAGGAGTGGGAGGAGGTATGGGGTCAGCACATGCTTGTCCTTGAGACACGTCCGGGGGCTGCTCTGCAACAGCAACCTTGACCTGGTCGATGCTGACTACGTCCTCTTTGTCACCTCGCAGGATCCGAAAGGTCTTGCTGTTACGTGCAAGCACACGGAACGGTCCTTCGTATGGTGATTCTAACGGCTTCCGCACACGATCAAACCGAACGAACACATGGGTGCAGTTGGCTAAGCCTTTTTCAACCTAAGGCTCGGTCGATGGAGCTCGAGGTGGAACCGGGGAAAGCGAGCGCATGAATTGTCGCAGACGATGCACAAAATTTTCGGGGGTCTCTTCGGCACCACGAGAGGTTGGGGTGACCATCTCACCAGGGAGTCGTAGGGTAGTACCGAAAACCAATTCGGCTGCGCTGCAGTCCAAGTCTGACTTCAGTGCCGCACGAATGCCAAGAAGTGCAACGGGTACATTGTCTGACAAGTTTTCGGGATCTCCTGCGGCACGCAGTGCAGTTTTTAGCTGGCGGTGGAAACGCTCAACCATGCCGTTGGCAGCTGGGTGGTAGGCCGTCGTCCGGATACGTGTGCAGCCAAGGAAGTTGAGGAGAGTTAGGAAAAGTGTGGACTCAAACTGTGCGCCTCGATCAGTCGTAATCATGGATGGCGCACCGAATATGGCGACCCAACGACTGACGAAGGCTTTCACAATGGTCTCAGCTTGCACATTCGGTAAAGGAATGGCTTCCGGCCAACGAGTATAGCGATCAACGCAGGTGAGAAGGTGAGTATAGCCATTGGATGGAAGTAAAGGACCTACGACATCTAAATGCACATGGTTGAACCGTGCGTCGGGGCTGGGGAACGTGCCCGATGGAGACTTGTTGTGGCGTTGAACCTTGTTACGTTGACAGCAAATGCACGATCGTGTCCAGGCTTTCACATCCTTGTTCAACCCAGGCCATACGAATCTTTCCGCGAGGAGCTTCTGTGAGGCTCGAATCCCAGGATGGGAGAGTCCGTGGAGAGTTTGAAAAACAGCTCGACGCAACGAGGCAGGAGTCGATACGTCACAAAGGATTGTGCAAGTGCCGGTGGTCAATGGGACGTCAAATAACCGTAGAGCTCAGGACCAAACAACCACACCGGACATAAGAAGACAGCACGGAGATAGCCCGACGCTGAGCTTACTCGGTGAGGAAGAACAAGAACCGCCAGAGCGACCGCCCGACTAAAGTCCAATCAGCTCCCCTCGACGGAGTGGTGACTCATAAAGCGCACAGGCAAAAACGCCCGTCAACCATTTCCTGAGAGGCCGACGCAGCGTGAGGAGAGAGAAAAATCGATCAGCATGAGGCCGGCCAACACAGCTTGCCACTTTAAGTTAACTTTCTGATCGATTAGGTGCAGTTTACGCTTTGACAATGAAGAGCCGACCCAGCTCTTTGAAACGTCAGCAGTTAAATAAACCTGTTCCGGAGGGCCAATTTTCTTCTTCTAATAACTGAAGACTGTCAACAGACTCGTCGCCAGGGCATCCAACACGTCGTTGTTTAGCCGCCATAGCACCAAGATCAATCCCGTGTGAGAGGTGAAACGCCGAGAAGGAAGGTCTGGACAGCATGTCGGCCACCGCATTCTTCGGGCCATCAATGTGGCGGATGTCGGTGGTGAATTGCGAGATGTAATCCAAATGAGAAATCTCTCTCGGGTTATATTTGTCAGAATGGGATCGGATGGCAAATGTAAGTGGTTTGTGGTCTGTGAAAATTGTGAAGTCACGACCCTCAAGGAAGTGTTGGAAATGTTTTACGGCTAGGTAAATGGCGAGAAGTTCACGGCCAAACGTGCTATATCTCGTCTCGGCAGGTGAAAGCTTCTTGGAGAAGAATGCCAACGGTCGTGTCGAGTCGTTGATATGCTGTTGGAGGACTGCTCCTACGGCAACGGTCGAAGCATCAACCATCAGGGACAATGGGGCTTATGGAGCAGGATGAATGAGCAAGGTAGCATCAGCAAGGGAGGTCTTTATTCTCTCAAAAGCAGTCAGCGCGTGGCCACGTAACTCAAGGGAACCCTTGGGACCAGAGAGAAAGTTGGTGAGTGGCAGCATAAGGTCGGCACAGTTCGGTAGGAACCGGCGATAAAAGTTTACCATTCCAAGGAAACGTTGCAACTGACGCTTGGAGGTTGGTGGAGGAAAGTCACGAATGGCCCTAACCTTGGAAGAGAGGGGACGCAAACCGTGTGCATCGACATTGTGGCCAAGAAAATCAAGGGACGGCACACCCAGAACACACTTCGAAGGGTTAATGACCACGCCAAACTGATCGAGGCGGTCAAACACTAAGGCAAGATGCTCTTTGTGTTCTTCGGCATTTCGACTGGCCACCAAGAGGTCATCAATGTAGGCGTACACAAACGGGAGACCACGTAAGACTCGGTCAATGAACCTCTGAAATGTTTGGGCAGCACTGCGAAGACCAAATGGCATGCGAATAAATTCGAACGGGCCGAATGGTGTGGTGACGGCAGTTTTGGGAACATCCTCAGGAGCGACAGGAATCTGATGGAAGGCCCGAACAAGGTCAGTCTTCGAGAAAACCGATTTGCCGAAAAGAGCTCCAGCAAAATCTTGAAGATGAGGGAAGGGATAAAGATCCGGGATGGTCGCATTGTTGAGGGCGCGATAGTCACCACAGGGCCGCCAGTCGTCTGATGTCGCCTTGGGCACCATATGCAGAGGGGACGCCCATGGACTCTCGGACGGGCGAATTATGCCCAGTTGCAGCATGTGCTCAAATTCAGCCTTCGCCGCTTGCAGACGGGACGGAGCCAGTCGTCTAGGCCGTGCGAATGCGGGGGGGCCAGAGGTGCGAATGTGGTGGACAACGTCATGCTGGATCTCACCACTGCGAAACTGGGGTTTGGTTATGTTGGGGTGTTGGAGGAGCAGGTCTCGGTATGGGCAAGCAATACCTGTGTCCAGAACAGATAAATTGCAGGAGTCATTAAAGGGTGTAAGACCGCGGACAGAAAGACCAGTTGTGCGGTCGAGGAGACAGAAACGCCGACAGTCAACAAGGAGATCAAACTCGGCTAGGAAGTCGGAACCAAGGATCGCATGAGGCACATCGGCAATCACAAATATCCAGGAGAATGATCGACTTAAACCAATGGCTGGAACCGTTGAACCTCTATCATTCGGTCTGCCATTTCAGCAAGATGTGAAAGTGTAAGGTCGTGCGAGCCGGATGCCAAAATCGTTTGGACATCTGCAGGCAGCCGCTCTAGAAACATCTCTTTAACGAGTTTCTCGTCGACCTGTATGTCTCCTAAGAGAGTAAGCATTCGTCGGAGAAGTTCTGAGGGCTTTCGGTCGCCCAGTGATTCCTCCTTGATCAACTGGTGATAGCGTTGTCGGTCAGATACAGCATTGAGACGAAGGATTTCCGCCTTCAGAGCAGAATAGGGAGCGTCTGCAGGGGGTTTCACTAACAAGGGTTGAACTTGTGAGATAATATTGGCAGGGATAACCTCCACAAGTTTGTGGTATTTCGACAACTCCTTCGTAATGTTGGCGGAAAGAAGGAGAGAACTTAAGTCTGCGCTAACGTCGGGAGTCACCAATGACGTAAGTTATGTCGTTCCCGCGAACTAACGAACTACGGCTTACTAACCTCATAAACGGAAAGAGGTAAGGAAGGCCAGTAAGGGAATAAAGTTAATATTCAAAATGTTCAACGACCTGACCAGAGAGCATGCAAGCGGCGCGAAGCTTACAAGCGGCGGAGTCCTCGTCACGTTAAAACAAATGCTACAGTAAAACAAACGTGACAAGATTGTCAAAGGTCAAGTAGTCAAGTACTTCAGCACAGGCTGACCAACAGGTCGCGGGTTCGAGCCTCGGATGCTCCACACTTCGGGCTTGAGTATGACTGGCTGACAACGGCTAATAAGCCAGAAATGGCCATTTCAGTCTCCCTTGTCTTTGTCACTGATAACATACAGACAACACAACTCGCCTGGAGAGCGCATTCGCGCCGAGTGCTTGCGGTGCCTTTATGCACGCACTCCCTCAGCAGTAAAGGTTGTCCAGTCTTGCCGACCACGTGCACCTGGACACTGAAAAAGTCCAGGTAGCTTAACTGGTTTCCGACACGCGAGCTCCCTTTGTAGCCTGCACAACAGTGGATGCTTCGAAGGTAGGTCACAGGGGTATAGAACTCCCCTATTACAGGTGGCGTTGCGCAAAATTGTGGGGGACTAGGGTTGGGGTTATTGCCACGGTCAGTCGGGATGGGATTACTAGGATTGGGCTTAGGATGGTTAGCGTTATAACACGCTAATAAGACACACCCTGCCTGGAATTGAGCGCAATAAAACCTGTTATACCTGGCCTGCTTCCTCCTCCTCCACCTCCACCTCCTCCCCCTCCTCCTCCTCCTCCTCCTCCTCCTCCTTCTTCTTCTTCTTCTTCTTCCTCGTCGTCTTCTTCTCCTCCTCCTCCTCCTCTTCAATGAGAAGGAAACAACTTGAATCCCAGGTTAGCAGATGTGGGAAATCCAGGCCGATATTCTAGGAAATACGAAGGGCTCACCGGATCAGTGGAATTGGGTGACTGTCGTTTCGGACGGCTTGTGTAGGAAATCGACCAGAATTCTGAACAATCGGCCGAATCAGTTGGCCTTGGGCCGGTGGATTTTCTTCTTTCGTCGCCTTGGCCTTCTGGTCGTTGTTTGTGAATGTAGGCGGCCTCCTGTGTTGCGTGTTGGCGCCCCGATGGGGGTCGGTTGCGCCTTCGAATGAACTGGTCGACGTGCGCAATCAGCTGACTGGGATATAGGTAGAGAAGCCATGGGGTAATTGGTGCATTTGTATCGGCTTTTCGGTCTGTACAAGCGCCCACTGTAGGGGATTAACGGAAAAGACTAACAGAACGCGCCCTGCGGACGGCAGACTCACATGCCAACGGCCGGTCCCGTGTGGTTTATCAGATTACACGTCGCAAGAGGTCCTGCAATTATACAGGTCACAAAGGTAACTAGTGGTGCAGGGGTGGGGGGACTCAATTTTCTCGATCGCTGTCCACACCCTGCAATTAAGTTTGAACTTTATCCTCACGTGCACAGTGGTGCGGGCTGGAAGCAAGACAGATAGAGGACGTTCAGAAATCGGGACCTCCGGTCTGGTGAACAGGTCTCCAACCCCTTCATTATGTCCTACCCAGTCAAGACTGGACAGCGAGACCTAACGCCTAGTAAGGACAAAAGCAGTCCATCCGTTAATTTGTCTTCGTGAACTCTGACGACAGTTATGAGGACCGAGTCTTAACGTGCTATCTTCGGCAAAGGATGTTTCCAAAACTATCATCAAAGGTTACGGAGATTGAACTAGCTACCTGTGACGTTGGTACCACTGTCGGTTTGCCTTATAAATAGTTGAATCGCAGCATAAAAGGCAAAAATTGGTGCGTACATTCCACCCAACGACTCCTGTTTCGTAGACAGTCGTCTTATAAGTAGTTTAGACTACATATACACCTCGATTCTTTACCCTTGCGAATAACTTACACGGATAGGTTAACAGAGGACGAAACCCCAACGTCTAGACCATGCAGCTGCAGCATATTTGCTTGTCATGTGCAGATAAAGGAATCTTTTCGGTCCAGATACTTTGTTTACATTGACTTATGTCGTTGTACTACACATCCATTCCATCTGAGTGACTCCCGCAAGGATTTCCGGCCAGGCAGGCGTGGCACCCCGCAGCCCAAATAAAGTAGCGCTAACAAGGGACTCTGATGTCCATATTTTACCCCCACAGAAGAGTTTGTCTTACGTTAGTGACTGTCGCAGGTCATAGAGGTTTATTTTCTACAAGCATTAATCAGTTTTCTGGACGGCTTCTCTAGTCATTTGTGACGACAGCCAGAGACTTGGGATTATGGTTGGTGTTTGGGTTCATGTTAGGTTTAGGGCTTGCCCCCAAAATCGCACCAGAGGATAGATTCGTTGGGCCAATTTGGAGATAGGAGTCTTGCAAGCGTTATCGGGGATGCGTACCCATAAAAAGTGCCAACACTAGGGCGTGGCGGTGCGGTAGTCCTTTGCCATATTTTTAAACAATAATTTTTATTGTTATTCTACTTGTTACGCATTTCCTAAACTGGCATTTATTACCTGTTGTTTAAATTGGTTTTTACGTAACGGCTACGCGGACACTCCAGCTGGTGTGAGTTTCGGTTTCACTAACTGACTTTTCACCCATTGCCCTTGTTCTTCACTGGGTGACTCTGACAGTTACAGCAGGTGGGCTGACTCATGAACTGTCAACCGAAATTCCGAAATGAGTTTTCGTTTCGAAAAAATTAATTAAGTAGTGTTGTAAAACCAATCATCGTGCGGTATAATTCTGCAATAGGTCGGTTACCTCAGGATGCCGGCTTCTGAATGAGCATGCATTTTTCTCATTGATTTTCGATGTCCTTAAAAACTCAATCATAGTTCATGAAAAACGTGCATAAAATATTCATTTTTTGCTCATTCGGTTGAAAAAGAAGGAGGGGTATAATTCAGTTTATAAAAAGTTTTTAATTGTGAGATTTTTTAATACGGTGAAGTGGTCGTTCATAAAACATCATGTCTCTGCACTTA